AGAGGGGCCTGGAGCACGTGAGCAGCCCGGGGGCCGAGCCGGTCCTCCCGCATTCCAGGGCGAGTGACTGGGCAGAGGGTGTGCCCGCCTCGGGCGGGGCCGGGGGAAAATCCGAGCCTGGTCGGGGCCCTCCTGCCACCCTGGCCCAGTGGAGGGGACCCTGGACATCCTTGAGCCTTCTCCTAGGCACCCGGGGCTCCGAGACCCAGAGGACCTTGCCAGTATCTGGCCTTTCCAGTTAGAGGGGTCCTGAAGCTGGAGTCACCCTGAAGGACCCATGAGCCTACAGGGGACTGAGGTCTGAGAGTGGGAGTGGAGAGACACAAGTCTTACCCCTCAGAATCATAAAAGGAAAAACTAGCTTAGGGCTGGGGCTGTAGCTCCTGGAGGAGCACTTTGCTGGTGAGCCATGCCCTTGCCTGGGTCCCCGGCTCTGCAAACAAAAACACTGCAGAACCAAAGAGCACCTGGCAAAAATGACCTGGAAGAGATTTTAGGGCTTATTGAATCCAAACTTTTTTTTTTCCCCATCCAGAACTGGGGATTGAATCCAGTTCTTACACACGCAAGACAAGCCATCTACCCCTGAGTGGTATCCCCAGATTTTTAGTTTATTTTGAATTTTGTTTTGTTTTTTGACACAGGGTCTTGATTTGTAGTTCAGGCTGGCTTTGAACTCGCTATGTAGCCCAGGCTGGCCTCAAAGTGACAGCCAACCTCCTGCCTCAACCTCCTGAGCCCTGGGATTACAGGCATGTGCCACCACATCTGGTGCCTGGTTTTATTTTGAGACGGCATTGCTGAATTGCCAAGACTAGACTGAAACTTGACATCCTCCTGCCTCAGCCTCCTCAGTAGCTGGGATTACCGCTGCAACTGTGTGCTACTCTTCCCAGCTACAGTATCATCCTTTTGTTTGTTTGATTTTGTTTTTTATTTTTATTTGTTTATTTTTCTGTACTAGGAATTGAACTCAGGACCTTGTGCTTGCCAGGCGGGCGTGGTGCCACTGAGCTAGACCCCCAGCCTATTATTTTGTTTTTTGAAACAAAGCCTTGCTATGTAGTTCCAGGCTGGCCTTGATCTCATTATGTACTCCATGATGGCTTCAAGCTCATGGCAATCCTCCTGCCTCAGCCTCCCTTGTGCTGGGATTACAGCCTCATTCCTATAGAAGAAACTGATAAGCAGAATCCACTCATCTGGCCTAACACCACATAGATTTTCACCCACCCTGTTACTCCAGGGGGCACCATAGGCTGTAGGACCCTTGGATTTGGAGCTGAGTCCACAGAACCACAAATCAGTAACAACACTTTCTCTGCCCGTAGAGACCAGGGCCTTGCTAGAGGCACAGGGTCTAAGGGAAGGGGCGTCCATTACCCCTCTCCTTGTCTCAGGGTAGCCCAGGCCAGCTTTGAGCCCCTCTGAGCTGCAGTTTCCTCATCTATAAATGAGGATAACTCTACATTGCTCACCAGACTTTTTTGTGTGAGAGTTTTTATTTTAAAAGTGCTTGATGCATAGTAAACTACTGTAACATTGTACATACTACTGCCATAGTATGTATGAGACAGTGGCATGAACTATTGGCTTTTCTTTTTTTTGAGACAAAGTCTCACTATGTAGTTCAGGTTGGCGATCCTCCTGCCTCAGCCTCCGTAGTACTGGCATTACAGGTGTGCATCACCACATCCAGCCTGCTGGCTTCTGACCACTAGAGGGCAGCAGCAGGTACTGGTGGACGAGGGACTGGAGAGCAGGAGAGAAACGCGTCCAAGCAGATGTTGCACCTCAGCAGCCCCTCAGCAGGGAAGGCTCCATCAGGCACCCAGGGAAGAGCTTTCAAGAGGGGCTGGGTCTCCCCAGAAGTGGCTGCAACAACCTGACACCTGGGTGGGGTCCAGGCAGACAGAGGGCTGCATGGCCAGTGAAGAGGTTGGCAGCAAAGAGGCCCTATAGCCGGGGACTCTGGAGCCCAGGTTAGGCTGGCAGCCTGGCCACACCCACTGGCCCTGAATGTGGCCTGGGGAGCCTGCAGTCTTCACCCTGTACCCCTCGGGTGCTGCAGAGGAAATCCCTGAACCTTGGTGACCCTTTGTCCCCAGGCCTCCAGACAGCACAGCAGCCTTTCTGACCCAGGCCAGCCAGGCTTTGGCTTCCCCCACTTTACCGTCCTCCCCAGCCCATCCCTGGCCTGGCCCCCACCACAAATTTCCTGGGCCAGAGGGCAGCCAAAAGCACAGGTGCCCATCCCAGGACATTCCCGCCACCTGTCCGGCCCGTGCCCTGGGCCCAACCCCAGAGGGTGCGGGATGACAGACTGACAATCATTAAACCAGCCCGGCCTGATTTCCCAGCACCGCCTGCTAGGACCCGGGCCAAGTGGCACCTAATATGCAAATCACCTGGGGCCAGGAGCCCAGTCTGAAGGCCAGGAAATCCCCTCCGTCCAATGAGCCACCAGCTCAGGTTACCGCCGGGCGCGGCGAGGGCCTGGTGCTGGGCGGAGCTCCCGCGTGGCCTATTTAGGGCGGGTGGGGGCGCCCGGCAGCCAGACTCCTCACCGCTCCCTGGCGGAGCCTAGTGCTACCTGGATTCCCCTCACCTGTGACTTCCGAAGCCAGCCTGTCCACCCGTCACATCTGCACAGGTAGGACTCCTACCTGGCGCGTCCCTTTGCCCTGGCTTTGGGAAGCGAGCGTGGTGGCTGTGCCGTTTTGGAGGTGCCCTAGTCTGGAGTCTCACAGCCACGCTGAGGGTCAGGAGCAGAGCCTGTCTGGGTGGGGACTGGTGGGCCGAGCTGTCTGCCATGGCTAAGGGTCCTGAGGAGGAAGGCCAGCACAAGGGCACAGTGGCCGAACTTTTCTGAGATGTGCACCCCGCTTGCTCTTTCTTTTTTTCTTTTTTTTTTTTTGGT